TGGCCAAGACCTACATTTATTAAAGCATTATTGGTTTGATTTATTTAAAACATTAAAGAACATTTACCATTAATTGTACTATAGATTATTCACATACCCTTATTCTAATGGAAACACGCCTCTGTTTAAAACTCATTCATTGTTAACCTACAAAGGCTTTGTAAATTTGTAATTTTGTGATTCATAGTAATTTCCTTGTTCTCTTATTAGCCAACTGATGAGGAAGAGGTGGTGAAGGGGATGAATGTTGGACTCTTGGTGGTCACAGAGGCGAACACTGCAAACCTCCTCCCAAAGGAAATAATCGATGTGGCTGTGGTGTTAGAGTAGGTGATTGTGCTTGATGGCTTAACGGACGTGTCAAATGCCTTTGCTATACTAATGGGGCTTCTTTATGCTCTGAACATCACTTACCCCAAGGAGGTCAAATATACATTTGAAGTACTCCAAAAAGTGGTGGCGAGGTATGTTCGGCCAGAGTTCATGGAGTAAGGAACAAACTGTTCAGTGTTTAGTGGAAGAGGATTTTACTCTCCCCTACTCACACTCACTGACATTCTGACATGTTTTTATTCGTCTGTTTTGAAAACAAAATCTCACAAATATAACTTTGCTAGCTCTGAAGTTGGATATCATTGAACACAATGATTTTCTCCTTTTCATTTATGTAAGTGTTTATTTTTTCTTCTTTCATTGCACTCTCTCATCCATTCACATTTCACTTCACATACACTCACTCATTGAATTACATATAAAAACAGTGTTTGCATTCAACCACTTTTTTTGGAGATTTTGAGTTCAAATGGAATATCCTTGTAACTGAACTGTTGTAAGCTTAATATTCATTATTAAATGTTATGAATTGGTGCAAGTCTTTAAAAATGTGGAATAGTTAAGAAAACTGTTTCGCAGGGTTAGTTCACCCAAAAATGAAAATTGTCATTACTCGCGCTCATGTCGTTCCAAACCTGTAAGATATTCATTCGTCTTTGGAACACAAATTAAGATATTTTAATGCAATCTGAGAGCTTTTTGTCCATCCATTGACAGCCTATGCAACTATCACTTTCAAACCCCAGAAAGGTAATAAAGACATCATTGAAGTAATCCATGTGACTCCAGTGGATTAACCTCAAGTTTAGGAAGTGATGTTATTTGGCGTTAATGAACCGAGCGACTCAACACCTTGGGCCGCCACGCCACGCCACGCCATGACTTTAATACTCTTTAATCAAACTTTAATATTCTTTTTGGATGCTCTTGAGACACTTCATGCTTTAAATTGCATGAAACTCAACACACACATCCAAGTACACATGGGCGAAGTCTCAGAATCGGGCGTGGTGGAGGGGCTCAGTAGCTCCACCTTTTGACAAAAGTCGGAGGGTTAGTTTTACTTAAAATAACAAAGCTTGGTACGTATATTGTTCTCATCGTGCCGGACAACTTTCTAATTTACAGTCTTTAGCTCCGACCAACAGGAAGTCAGATATTTTGGTTTGAATGTGGATTCTTTGCAAAATCAGTCTCTACATTTTTACCAAGAGAAAGTAAAATACGGACGTCTACACGGACATTGATAATGGTGCGGAGCAGAGCGAGCATTTTCAATTAATTCCTGTGGAAGAAGGAATGAACTAAAAAACTTTCACTCTGTTTTGCTTGCTCCTCGCCATGGACGCACACCGTTATGAATAAGTTTTAGTTTCACTTTTAAAATTAGCGCCAGTTCGTGACAACATGTATAATGCAACAGGACATTTCTGAATGATTAGTTGATGAATTTATGTAGCTTATGTGTAGTTATCTTCTAGACATTGATTAGCATATTCTGTCATGATAATCTATAAATCGGGTTCCGGGGGCGGGGTTTATGTAAATTTTAGGGTTAGTGATGTCACTAACCTGTGAGGAATGTCATGTAGTCCCTACCAGCCGTTTGTTGTAGTCCTTAAAAAGCAATTTCTTTAAAAGCAAATATCTCCCTTTGCTTTGAACTTTGAGCGCCATGACTTTGCAGATGTTGTTTATGATAGGCCTACTCTGGGCATTCGTAAACCACGCCTCAAATACGAGAAAATTAACATGTGGTTCCCAGACTCTGACGTTAGCCAGGCTACAGATGTTTATGTATTGATCACTGAATCTTAGACTCAACTGATTCGTTCAAAATGCTGAATCATTCATAAATGAGTGTTGCTGTGAGGTGCCAGATGGTTGTGCTGTGATCTTTGTTTGGAACTATTTTCGTTGCTGAAGAAAAAAAAAAAAAACAGTGAACATTGCGTCTACAATGTAAGTGACTTAAGTTAACCTGTTTATTGAACTGTTGTTTGAAATCAATGTCACATTTTAAATTGTGATGGTTGCCTATTCAGGAAAACATCACTCATTGTGTGAGGTTGCTTAACTGTATCATATGTTAATAATATCAAAAACTCCACATTTTGAGGCATTACGCCTCAGACAATGAAGCTATATTTGGTGCATTTCATTGATATGATGTTGTGCCTTTCATTCGTATGTAACATGCACAATACAACACAACAATCCTCACTATACAGAGGATTTGTTTTACCCTACATCTCATAAATGGGTATAAATGTTCTTTTTATTGGCAGTTTATCATTATAAGACATAAGCTATAGGCCTACCTATGAAAATATTTTTAGCCTAGTATTGTGTTTTGAACTAACACAATTTTTCTGTAATTGCTCAGATGATATTTTGTGATTTGTGAGAAAAATAATTAATGTAAAAAAACATTTTTACATTACAAAGCTTCAGTTGATTATATTTAAATAAATACAGATGAACGTTTGTTTGTTGCATTCAGATTTTTGTACAGTACTGTAGTTGTATTTGTCACTGTGACTCTCTTGCACAATAATATACAGCAGTGTCTTCATTCTTCATATTATTCATCTGCAGATACATCTGTTTCTTGCTGTTGTCTCTGGAGATGGTGAACCGTCCCTGAACAGACTGAGAGTAGTATATAGAACCACCAGCTGAGATGTATGCCAGCCACTCCAGACCTCCTCCTGCAGCCTGTCTGATCCAAGCCAAGTGCTGGTCACCACTAAACCCAGAGGCTGTACAGATAAGTCTGTGAGATCCTCCAGGTTTAATAACCACTGACTCAGACTCAGTCAGTGTCTGACACCAACAGACTGAAAAAAATGAACAGTTCAACATTAACATTTACAACAGCACACATGAATATATGTCTAATTGTCAACATGGTTTCAAGAGTCTTTCTTACAATCTGTGAGAGCAAACATGAAGATTAAACACAGTTTAGACACAATATCCATTGCCATGTTATGAACTTGATGCAGGAAAGTCATAAACAAGTTTTGTGTCTGTAGATGAATAGAGTGGGGGCTTTTAAAAGGGAGAAGTGGAAGTAGGTTTGCATAGGCTGCCCTCTAAAGGTACATTTACATTTTATGTGTCCTTATTAACCTTTGTAGCAATATCTCGTATGCCTTTCATTTTATTGTTACTTCTTTTTATAGCTTATAATAATTGGTTATAAATGATAAATTTGTAATTATTCCAAATAAAAATTGACATTATTAATTTATAATTATTCCAAATCAAAATCATGCAAAATCTTTACATTTTCCCCAATCTCACACAGGCAGAGGTTACTTTACTAATAATTGGAGTAACATATTTTAGGTGTGAACAATAATTATAGAGATGATGAGATGGATGAGTATTTTTTATATTGCTTTAATGCTGATGTTGATGGGTCAGTTGAATTTTTACAGATTACCCATCTGAAGCACTTTTGATAAAATATGTCATGAAGAATGAATGTCTCCAAAGCACATACGTTTTTGTACTGCACAGAAGCCTCTTGTGTTACTGTGTTTTTCGGGCACAGTAATAAACACCAGTGTCCTCATCCTGCAGATTTGTCATGTGCAGATACACCTGCATTTTACTGTTGTCTCTGGAGGTGGTGAATCGTCCTTCAACAGTTTTAGAGTAGTATTTGCTACTGCCGCTTGGAGCAGAAATATGTGAGATCCACTCGAGCCCTTTCCCTTCAGCCTGTCTTATCCATGAAATATCTGCATTGCCAACTTCAATCCCAGAGAAAGTACAGGTCAGTTTATGTTCGTTCCCAGGTTTGATGACGACTGACTCAGACTCAGTCAGTGTCTGACCTTTGCACACTGTTAAAATAAAATAATTGAGATGCTTGAGTTTTAGCAATAAAGTGAAAAACAGAGATGACTTGACAGCAAATAGATGCAAATTAATAAAATAAATATGCACTGAAGTGCTTAAAAATAAATCTTACTTACTTTCAATAGAGACTAGAAGGCTTATGAAACAACAAGTAATTCTGAGTACCATTTTTGCAGCAGTTTTTGTTACAAATCTCATTGACAAAACACTGAAAAGGAGATAAATATGAAGAGTTTATAAGGCAGAATGTACATTTTAATTTGCATAGCCCATCCTCCAGCAGATTTTATATCAAAGGAAGGTCAGACCAAAAGAAAAAAATTCAACCCTACCTGGATTCATCTTGCACTTTGTAAAGGATATTTACCACTACAATGCACTAATTCACTTGCAAGTTTTATCTTTATGGAGATATAATGATTAGTGCTTATCTCACTGTGGAAATGTATAGTACATTTAAAATAGAGTTTTCATGACTGAATATTTTTGAATCTCAGTCAAACAATATATGAATTATTTTCAGATGAATTTAGTATGCTTATGGTGACTGTAGTACACTCAATGCAGGTTATGCATCTCACTAAGCGGCAATAGCTCTAGCTCTAAACTAGCACCCGGTTCATGTTGGTGGAAAAGGGTAATCAATGATCAACCCTCCAAGCTTGGAATCTATTATCTTTATGACCTTCCTTTACCAGCCTAAACTCATCCTCTCATTTATTTGGGAAGCTGTTTATACAGAAATATTAAGATATTTTAAACTACATTTCTAAACAAGTAATGTATTGAATTGTGGGGAAATTTGCAGTAGTTGCTTCAGTGATCATGACAGTTTTTGTTCAGCCCTGCAGACTTTTGTCTAACTGTGAATCTCTTGCACAGTAATAAACAGCTGTGTCTTCAGTCTTCAGGCTTTTCACCTCTAAATACAGCATGTTTTTGCTGGTGTCTGTGGTAATGGAGAACTGGCCCTGTAGAGACTGAGCATAATAAACACTTGAGCCAGATATACGTCCAATCCACTCCAGTCCTCTCCCTGGTTTCTGACGGATCCAGGTCATCCAGCTGCCCATTGAGATTCCAGAGACACCGAATGACAGAGTCACTGATTCTCCTGGTCTTTTCACCACAGAATCCGAGGAGCTCAAAGACTGACCATTAACACCTGACAAACAGAGGAAAAATCATGTTAGATAATTTAGAACAATGAAATGTCAACATTAATCTGGAAAAGTGAAATCATTCTCACTTGAAATAATCATCAGCAGAACTCCGTAAAGTAACATTTCCATTATCACCCTAAATCTGTCAAATGAAGGGAATAATAAGATATTTAGCTGCACTGCAGCAGAACATAAACACTGACTGAGGATTCAGTTTATAACACAGTCCTTTAAGAGTCTGAGTGGCACTGATCCTGCCTAAATCATTTGCAAATATAGAGGTTTGCAGGTGTAAGGACCACCCACTGGCCCAACCACGAAATCCAATGGCATGGGCAGAGGTATACTGGCAAAGATACTGATTTTAACTCTATGCTTAATCTGCTTAAACTTAGACATTATTTTTAATTTAGTTCAGTTTTATTTGGATTTTTGATTATTGTAGTATTTCCTTACTCTTCAGTTATTAATTTTGGGACCCAATTTCACACAGATTCGCAAAACAGCCTGTTCAAGGATCTCACGGACATGAAATCATCAATCTGATCAAAGTTGTCAGGTCTGTTGTGAGTTTAAGGGTACATTTACATGACAACAACTTAAAATGAAACAATTTTTCCATTGCGTTTTTTCGTGTGCAAACGGAAGCGTTGTTAAAACGATCCCCATTCGCACGGATATGCGAAACCGACTAAAAACGTTGTATTATGAATGCCAGGCCAGTAGTTGGAGATGTCACTATGTAAAGAAAAATTATGCATAGACTAAGACTAAGACCTACTAAGCACGTAATACGTATGCGCATGACTTCACCGTTTTCATGAATACACGTTTTTGTAGTTTACACGGAGACGATAACTGTATTATTCTGTTTCTCAAGTTGTTTCCTTATAGCTTAGAATTGTGTTCCTGAGTTTGTTTAAAATAGATCTAGTTATTTTTCCTTTGTTGCAACCCAGCATGACAATAGTCAGAGGATGTAGGGTTAACTAATATCTTTGGCTGCCAACTGCTTGCTCACAACAAAAAGTGTAGTTTCCTCAGTCATGTTCATAAAACCTGCTAAGTCATTGATAGACAGAAATCGTCTCGGTTACGTATGTAACCCTAGTTCCCTGATAGGGAACGAGACGCTGCGTCAAACGCTGTGGGAACGCCCCTGCGTTGTGCGTCATGAAGCACGTATGGAATCAGCCCAATGGAGAGATGGAACGTCATAGGCGGGTGACGTCATCGACCAGGAAACTATAAAGCACCCCAAAAACACAAGCGCAACAGCTTCTGATAGGCCTGAAGGAAGCGCTAACGGGAATGCCGGGAGTATGGCAGAACGACGCAGCGTCCCGTTCCCTATCAGGGAACTAGGGTTACATACGTAACCGAGACGTTCCCTTTCAAGGGAACTTCGAGCTGCGTCAAACGCTGTGGGAACGCGAATACCCACGTCGCCATAGGACCAAGTGAACGTCATGTGAGACTAGCGCACAGAGGACGAGAGCACCTGTGCCCCAGGTGTAGAGCTTAAGTCTAGGTCATAGAACTTAATAAAAGTATGCGGTGAAGACCATCCAGCCGCATCACAAACATCACTCAGGGAAACTCCCGACAATAAAGCTTTGGAAGCAGCCATACTCCTAGTAGAGTGGGCTCGAACAGCCAAAGGTGAAGGCTGCCCAGCCAACTCATAAGCAAGTGAGATAGCCTCGACCACCCACTTGCTCATTCTCTGTTTAGACGCAGGACACCCTTTCCTGGGTGGCCCGAAACATACAAATAGTTGATCTGATTTCCTCCACAGGGCAGCTCTGTGGACATAAGCGTCTAACGCCCTAACAGGGCAGAGTAAATTAAGTTTCTCCTGGTCCGATGACATAAATGGAGGAGGACAGAAAGCCTGCAGAACGGTAGGTCTAACAACATTAGTAGGCACCTTGGGAACGTACCCTGGTCTAGGATGCAGAAAAGCCTTAACCATGCCAGGCGCAAATTCCAGGCATGAGGGTGAAACCGACAGAGCCTGCAAATCTCCGATTCTCTTTAGTGAGGAGATAGCAAGTAAAAAGATAGTCTTAAAAGTGAGAAACTTCTCAGGAACTTCTTCGATAGGTTCAAAGGGGGCTAGGGAAAGACCTTCCAATACAATGGCCAGATCCCAAGTCGGCACCCTCGAGCGAACTGCTGGCCTCAGCCTCAAAGTGCCACGAAGGAAACGGGTTATAAGTGGGTGTCTCCCAAGAGAAACTCCACTGAAAGGGACATGGTAAGCAGCTAGTGCCGCCACATACACCTTTAGTGTGGAGGGGGATAACCCTGTGGAGAAGCGCTCCTGCAGGAATTCCAGCACTGCACCCACTGGGCAGTTAACTGGGTCCTGCAGGTGTTCTCCACACCAAGAAGTGAAGAGTTTCCACTTCAAGGCATAAAGCTTCCTCGTGGATGGAGCTCTGGAGTGAAGAATGGTCTCAACAACCTCGGTTGAGAGACCGGAATCTATGAGCTGGGCCCCCTCAGAGGCCAAGCCCACAGTTTCCACAATTCTGGGCGGGGGTGAAATATTGTGCCGCCCGCCTGAGTGAGTAGATCTCTCCTGACCGGGAGCTCCAAAGGAGAGCCGTCCAGAAGAGATATTAGGTCCGCAAACCAAACTCGGGCCGGCCAGTACGGGGCTACTAGAAGTAGGCTGACGCCGTCACGGCGAACCCTCTCCAGAACTCCTGGTAGCAGAGCAATCGGGGGAAAGGCGTACAGGCGTGACCTCGGCCACGGCTGCACCATAGCGTCCAACCCCAGAGGGGCTGGAAGACTGATGGAGAACCACAGATGACAATGCGTGGTCTCCTTGGAAGCGAATAGGTCCACCTCGGCACGACCGAAACTCAACCAAAGGAGCTCCACCACCTCGGGGTGGAGTCTCCATTCCCCCGGCCTCGGCCCCTGCCTCGACAGGGAGTCCGCTACCACATTTAAATACCCGGTAAGATATATTGCTCTAAGTGATAGTAGCTTCCCCTGGGACCACAGGAGGATCTGACGGGCCAACTTGTAAAGCCGGCGAGACCGCAGGCCCCCCTGATGATTGATATAAGAAACCACCGACGTGTTGTCTGACCGAACTAACACATGATGACCTCTCAGGTCTGCTAGGAAGTGCTTCAGAGCCTGAAACACCGCCAACATCTCCAGACAATTTATATGCCACGAGAGATGATGGTCCTGCCACAGACCTTGGACTGGGCGACCACTCATGTCCGCCCCCCACCCTGTGAGGGAAGCATCCGTCGTTAGTGTTACGCGACGACAAAGAGCCCCCAGCACAGGACCTTTGGACAGGAACCAAGTTTCTTTCCACATGACCAGAGCACAAAGGCAGCGCCGCGTGACTTTGATCGTGCGGAGTGGATTTCCCCTCGGGGAGAACCCCCTGGTCCTGAGCCACCACTGTAACGGTCTCATGTACAACAGGCTGCAAGGTATAACGTTGGACGCTGCTGCCATCAGACCCAGCAGTCTCTGAAACTGCTTCACAGTAAGTAGCTGGCCTAGCTTTACTTGTTTTACAGCCTAGAGAATCGAAGCGATGCGGGTCGGAGAAAGTCGCGCCCGCATCGAGACCGAATCCCACACGACACCCAGAAAAGTGGTCCTCTGGGAAGGAGATAGTACACTTTTCTTTGCGTTCAGCCTCAACCCCAACTTTCTGATATGAGCGAGGACGACATCTCGATGCCGAACCGCCATCTGCTCCGTCTGAGCTAAAATCAACCAATCGTCGATATAATTGAGAATACGAATGCCCTGAAGCCTCAGAGGCACTAGTGCTGCATCCATGCATTTCATGAAAGTGCGGGGAGATAAGGCTAGGCCAAACGGAAGAACCCTGTATTGGTACGCCTCGCCCCCAAAGGCGAACCTCAGAAACTTCCTGTGTTGTGGAAGGATGGAAATGTGGAAGTATGCGTCCTTTAGGTCTATCGTGACAAACCAGTCCTCGGATCTGATTTGAGACACGATCTGCTCGATAGTGAGCATCTTGAATTTTAGTTTCCCTACCGAGCGATTCAACAGGCGCAGGTCTAAAATTGGACGCAACCCCCCATCCTTCTTTGGAACGATGAAATATCGGCTGTAATAACCTGACTCCAAACTGGGAGGAGGGACCCGTTCTATAGCCTCCTTTTGAAGGAGCTTTTTCACCTCTTGTTCCATTACCAGAGCCTGCTCGGGGCCCACCACTGTGTGTAGAACCCCTTTGAATTTTGGTGGAAGACACCTGAATTGGATAGCATAACCCTTTTCTACTGTCTGCAGGACCCAATGAGATATTTTTGGAAGGCTTTTCCACTCTGCCAGAAAATCTACTAAGGGTACCAGTCTCTCGAGACTGGCCTCTGGTGTAACTCGAGCAGCAAACACAGCGCCCTGTAACGGCGCACCGGCAGGGAACGACTGGTTTAACTGCTCTGAGACCCTCTTCAGAGGGAGCGAGCGTCCCTCGGGAAAGCGCTCGCTGGGACCATCTACGCCCCGGCATGAAGGCGGGGTTGGCAGAACGGCCCCCTGAGGGCACCGAGGAAGAATGGGCACCGTAAAGAGAGGTGAACTCCTTTCCGCCTCGGTGGGGACCACCCTTAGCATCCTGAACGCCTCGGCGTCAGGACTTCTTCTTAGCCGAAGCCTTCTTAGACAATATCACTGTCCTCAGATCAGGTCTATGGCTAGAAGACTTCGGCTGAGAGTGCCGCGCCTGAGCCCACTGTCCAGCAGGGGGAGCACGAGACGCGACACTCTGCTTCTGCTGCGCCCTATGGGATGAGCTTGTAGACGGCCGGGGCTGCTCCCGCCCAGCAGCCCCAGGGACGTGAATTTTTAACGAGAGACATTTTTTGAAAGCTGCAGCTTGTTTTTTCTCTTCCTGGAATTTGTCTATAACAGAATTAACAGCTTCGCCAAATAACCCCGAAGGAGAGAGAGGAGCATCTAAAAGAAAAGCTTTTTCTTTCTCTTTCATATTTGACTGATTTAACCAGAGATGTCTTTCTGCGGCCACCAGAGCTGCCATAGATCGACCCACTAGCTTGGCCGATTCTCTGGTGGCGCGCAGGGATAAATCAGCAGCCTGACGCAGTTCTCGAACTACGTCAGTACTGACTTCTTCACTCTCACTCACGTCCCTCAGCAGGTCAGCCTGGTATGCCTGCAAAATTAACATTG